TGAATATAACCCGGCGATCAAAGTTGGGCTTGGACACGAGTTTTAGGGCTTGTTTTTCACTATTCACCAGTCGAACATCAACCCTCTTCCGAATATTGAGTTATTAATGAGTTTGTAGAAATCCTTCTCAGCATCGGTTTTAGCCTGAGCTCTGAGTTCGGTATTCGGGTCGCTATACGATTTGAGCCATAGAGATTGTTCAAATCTGATGAACCTTTTTCAAGATCATTCCCTGGAAGAGATAGTATTGAAGGTTCTGAAGATGGAGGGTATATTTTACACGTTTGCCCATATGAGGTACCAGTTTACGAACTCCATCAATTTCTACATTTTCTGGTGCTAGAGGATAGTCGTTATGACTATCGTGAAGGTGTTGAGAATATTCTAGGTCACTTTCTACTAACGCGCCATATTTATAATCTTCTGGATATTCTAAAAGCTCGTCAATCTCTTCTGAATCTACCCATTCAAACCCTCCTGTGGGAAGAGGTTGTGCCATGGCCTACCATATAGATTGTTCGCGTCTAGGTAAGGTATAAACTTGGTTGGCTGTGATGGATCGTAATTGCTCATGTATGGATTATTAGCCTTTCCGCATCGGTGAGATATCATGGCCACACCGCCCCTAGTCGCATTTTCAAACATCATCAACATATCTGGATCGGTCAGAAGTTCCAGTCGGATCCTGGTGAATTTTAGCATCGCGTCGTAGGATAGTCATTGGGATGTAAAATAGTGTGCAGGATCAAGCTTGTGAGTTTTCATACAATTATCCCTGAAATTCTCGAAAATATCTTCTAGTTAAGCCACATCACTTTCCAAGTAAAGATTGTGATAATCTCGCATTGTTTGACAACTGAATTCCTTAAACACCAGCTGGATATGAGCGTAATCCTCATAGGAAATATTTCACAGCTAAGTTTGTTGAAAAACGCCTCCTTGGGTGGTAGCTGTGTTTCCTCCAGCTTGATGGGACCATCTACATAATCGTAGGGATATACTCCCTTCCTAATCATCAGTTCGGTACGATTGCCGAAACACTTCTGAGTAGCCTTGAATTTATCCTTGGTCAAATTCTTTGCCGCCAAGTTTTCAAGAGAGCCGAGTAGAAATCGGTTGGAGTCAATAAACCTCATCTCGATATCTCCAACCGTCTTGGAGAAGCTGATATATTTTTCATCGGTCTTGGGGATACAGTTAATCTTTCCTTCCCCGAATCCTAATTCCCTTACGAATAAATGGGCATCATACCCACTCAAATTATGAAATACGATGGGGACAAATTTGGGTAGCTGAAACGCTAAATTACACTCATTGTGTGCTGCACTTCGATATTTATCCGTGAGATGATTGTGATCCCGAACCTTATCAAAACCTAAAGTGTTACCACAAATGTCGCCGCGAAATTTTCATTATCTTCATCTGTCATCACCATCGCAATTTTGGTTTCATAGGTTTTGGCAATTTCATCAATTTCCTTTTTCATACACTCCACGAATTTCTTGGCTGCATCTTCTCCACAGTAAACGACTGAATCTTTGTAGTCACCATGGACGTATTTTATGCGGTAGCAGAATCCAGATGGCTGATGCAGTTGATATGCCTTGGTGTAGGCTCGTGATGGATCTGGCTGGCAGGTGTCCATCTTTTCCGTAAAGCACTCAAAATCTGCGTAAATGGTGAACGGTACCCTCATCTGACGTTGCTGATTTCGGAAACTGATGAAGGTTCCTTCTTCTTGCATTTCAATTCTGACCTGCTTCTTCTGACTACAATATTCCATGTGCTCGTCTAGGATGTCCTGTCTGGTGAAGTGGCACAAACACCTGCGGCAGAAGAATGCTTCTCCATTATGACTTGTCACCTGAGACGACAAAAGGCGTGATAAGCTCTTAATCCAGCAGTAGTGCTGCTTGTCATCTCTGGTCAAAAACAGGAGAACTATGTGCTGTGTGCCAGTATTCTTGGAAATCCTCAAAGGGTATAGTTGGAAATCCTCTTCCCCATCTTCACCTTTCTTCACACCATCGAAGCCAAAAACGTTGATATTTAAGTCTGAATTTTGTCGCTCGAATTTGTCAATTGCCTTGAGGGAAACTGGGAATTTAATACCATCAAAGTTAAGCTCGCCTACCCACTGTTTGTACTTTGTTACTCGGTTTGTATGTTTCCTATCAACTTCCGAATTGTGTAGCGCTGATAACACTGCCCACTTAAAGCAGTGATCATCTTCATTTCTCACATTGATAATAGGTTTCTTTTGGGTAAGCTTCTGTGGGAGTGAAATGCAAGACCTCCCGGCCAGAGGTTTACATTGGTTCAAGTGGATTTCTAGCTGATCAATCTTTCCAATTGTCCATCCACTACCTTCTCGCATGTATTTTGCCAAATTTTCCTTAACCTTCTCTACCATAAGCGAAATCTCGAAATTGAGGTCTGATGATTGGGTGATCGTAACCTGATATGATCTGAAGGTGGGATATACGTAGATATTCTCTCCGGTTGCAGGGTTTGATTTAACTAACTCTACTGTTAATACTATCTGCACCTTCAATGCTTTCTTTTGGGCGAGGGTACTTTCGATTTCATTGGAAATTGTGCCTCGACTTATCTGAAAAAACGTTTCCAAATCATGCTGATTGAGTGGTTTTATGACGACTGTGCCAAATACACCTTTCAATGCACCCCGCCGGTCAGAAATTTCAATTTCGTCTTCCACTGGAGTATTTTCAATATCCCGTTTCACTAATTCAGTTAGGGCTGTTCTCCCAAGTCGTGAATAGTTGGTAATTCCCCGTCATTTGGCTATGGTCTTCAATTCCTTTTAAGTAAAAACCTCTTCGCGGGTATATTTATGGGTAGTTTTGTCCTCAATTAACTTTACCAATTTCCCCTTAGAAAGCCTGCTGTACCCTTTCAGACCCTCCGTCTTTGCAGTTTGTCGAAGCTCCTTCATAGTCTCTTTCACTACCATCTTCCCTCCAATTGGGGTGTTGTAATCATCCTCCTGTTGGGGTGGTTGTTTGTTGTGTCTCCAGCAAAGCCCATTCCTTCCTGGTTTACTCTTACAAAACTGACCCTTCTTCCTCTTCAATGGAACACCACAAGTCTGAAATTCTGGGGCAATAGCATTCTCAATGTTTTGACCCACCTCTGTACCACAATGTTGACATATTTGAGTCCTTTTGTCCATATCTCCCATTTTGGGATTGTTACAACACCGCTGCTTTTTTTTTTTGGGGGGGGGGGATGTAATTTTCATTCTCAAGATACTCCTCACTATCCTGAAAAAATTTCATATATTGATCCATGTTGTCAATTGTATTTACCCTAGGATTATATCTCTTTAATGTGTCTCTACAATTGTTTACGAAAGTCATATTTTGTTTCTACCCTTAGACTAATTGAAACTCAATGTATTTGCATTTTATATTTGAGGTTTGGGTCCCTATGCAGGATTTACCCTTGAAAATGGAAAAGTGGGGTAGAACTCTCATTTTGACACTACTAATGATTATGCCCATAATGGGTCCTCTATTGGAAATAAAAAAAAAAATATTTATTTATATTAGCAAGTTGAATAATTACATCTTCAAATAAAAACCACAATAAGTCATCCCCAACTAGATATCAGGCTAATAAAAAAATAGGCTTCCTACACCAAATATCACACATATTTTCCACTGAACAATTAAATATGACTAATAGGGTTTATGGTAAATTTGGTGTCGGACTAATGAGGCAAAAATAAGAAGTTGTGAGCTATTTAGAAGTAAGAGTAAGACTGGTCGGCTCAGAATCAGAATAATGTGTCCGGTCATGGTAACATTTCTTCCTGTGGACTGTCATCGCGTGAACTAGCACTGTATAGAATAGAATGCTCGAAGTCAGTAAAGGCAAGCTCAAAGGTTTTTAAACTTCCAAACTCATACAATCTTATATCAGTAGTTTTGTTGTTGTACTTCAGAGGATATTTCATATGGCAACGTCATACACAGTACATAAAGATACTATATTACGTAGTGCTTAAAGCCAATGCAATAAAAAGAATTACTTATATATAACTATATCACGGAACAACATTTTTAAATTGAATAATCCTGGCCTGATAGGAGCTGAAAATAAATAACTTTGCCCAAGACGGGATGAAAATGAATATTCTACAACACAAAATGCAGGAAATACTTGTGTATAAAAGTGAAAATTTATTTTAAATAAGCATACTTCTACGCCCTTTGATCTCTGTTTTAGCTGAGACTACTATGTGTTATAGTAGTCACAGGGTGGATGGTTGTCTCGTTGGCAATCATACCAATCTTCTTATTTTTATACTTAGGAACAGATGAAAATGAATAGTCAATCCGCAAAATATCCTCCTGTAGTTTCCATATACTATATATGGAGAGGCATCATATATCAATCTAATTAAAAACCGATCTCGCATTGCTCCCATTTTCTGATATGTGACAATCAGGAAACAGGAGCGATACGAGATCGGTTTTTAATCAGATTATATAAAAAAGGGAGATGTGGTATGATTGCCAATGAAACAACTATCCACCAAAGTTGAAGTGCAACCGTACGGTCTTCAACAATGAGAAAAACCAAGATTTCTTTTATTGATCATATATAAATAAACTCATCATAGATACCAGGATTGAAATTTTGTAAGCCAGATGCGCGTTTCGTATAAAGAAGACTCATCAGTAACGCTCGAATGACAAAAGTTAAAAAGGCCAAACAAAGTACGAAGTTTAAGACCATTGTGGACCAAACATTCCTAAACATTTTACCAAATACGGCTAAGGTAATCTATTCTTGGAGTAGAAAATCATTAGTATTTCAAAAAATTCATAGTTTTGTATACAGTTAATTTAAAATTATGACCATACCAATGATAATTCATGTCAACTGAGAAGTGCTGACTACTGGGCTGGTGATACCACTGTTATAGTAATATCGTTTGTATATACGAGCAAGAACATATTAAAAAAAGACTGATCAGTTACTCATTTTATTAAAAACAATTTGCAATTACTGAAAAAGAGTAAATTGAACCTGCACTTTAACAAACCAAATATGTCATTTCGAGTCTTCTTTCTGTCTTTGCGAAGTATTAACTACAACTTATTATTGGATTTTTCATCCTGCTCTTGATCCTCTTCTTGTATTTCGTGAAGTTCTGACTGTTGTCCTTGTTTGTGATTAATATCCGCCCATTCCTGTACATCACCTTTAGCCAAAATAATGTAAGCAACAGCTCCAACACAATACACAGCAGCGGCTATGTAAAACGCTATCTGCCATTCTTTTTGTGTTTTCTGAAAATTCAATATATTTTTATTTTTGTATCTTATTATTTTTAGTGCATATTTCTCATAAATATGTTTAACAATAACTTAGAAAATGTAACCCACGACCCCTTTTTAAAGTTTGCAATAAAATATTCTACCTTGGTAAATTATAAAAGATCAAAATATTAAAACTGAAATTTTATTTTCTGAACGCATTTTTCTCTTTATATAAGCTCAACAGGAAATAGCTGTACCGTTTTAGTCAACTACGTCTGTGTACTTTTTGGCGACCCGGTTTCCGATCTGTTTTAGTCAACTACGTCTGTGTAATTTTGGCAACTTGGTTTGCGATCTGAACCTTTTTTTTTTTCTTTGCTTGATGCGCAGGATGTCAGCCATATTTGTTATATATATCAATAGATTTTTTTGTTTGGTGTTTCCTTTAACCTTGTCCCAAAAAAGTCTATACATGCATTTTCTTTTAATATATATATTACAAATAAAAGTATAAAGTGTCGGTGACTTAAGGGGCGTTAAAGGAATGAGACATTCACTAAAAATCAAACAGAAGTACACAGTAATTGACGAAAAAATGTAGCCCATTTTTGTCTTTATTAAAAAAATTTGTTTTTAACGTTCTGCTTTTTAATAAAAACTGAATATGGGATATACGTCCATGGGATAGCAACCCAACCTGACACAGTTCCACATAAATTACGACATAATGAATATGTTAAGTTCTAAATCGTTCTGAATGTCGAAGACCAAAAAACATCATAAAATTTTGCTAGACAATGGGTAATTCTAATAGTTAACCTGCCTTTTATTTTTCTCCATAAAGGAAGAATTTGCATGGCAAAATATCTGAAACCTATAATTTTCAGATGCAAAACTTTTTCAGTTTTTTTCTCAGTATATACTAGTTTTTGATTTTCGCATATTGGGTCAACATAATCTCTGACATTACTGAATTGTTAAGTATCTAGTATTTTCACCTAACTTACATCTTGAGTAATTGCCCCTACAACATAAGGAGCAATAATCCCAGGTACACTAGCTCCCATATTGGTGATTCCAAATAACGTTCCTGCGAACTTCGGTGCAATATCCCCGTGATTAATGAAGAAGGAACTAAATTGAAAGCCACAAAATGCCATAGACAATGTGAGGAGTATTACCGCTTCTGTTTGTTTAAAACAGTTCATATATCCTAGTATTATAAGAAAAAGAGCTGGAACAAACATACCTGTAATAAATAATAGAAACTATCAAGATGAACTATTGTCTGTGATTAATGCAAGCGATGTTTAATGATTTAAGGTTAAGTGTCCGGTATTTTGGCGGTATTTCGTTTTTTTTTGTTTTGTGTTTTTTTTAATTTCTAATGCATTTAAAGCTTGTTCAACTGCATCATCTTTCAGTGATAGAATCAATTTTAAAATAAAATAGAGGTATAAAATGCATGTCAAAACTTCCTTTAAATTGTGACCACGAAACTTCGTCATAAGAAATTCGCCAATCAGACATGCGTGATATGTTTTTGTTGCTGTAAATATATCCTTTCTAATGAAATGAAAATTATAGTGAGTCATCGGTTTTATTTTTTTTTGTTTAAATTATTAAGTATGAAATGGGGAGATGTGGTATGATTGTCAATGAGACAACCCCACAAGAGAAATAAGAACGAGGATGAAAACAACAATAGGTCACCGTACAGCCTTAATACAGGCGTCACACTGTCACAAAATTGACACCAGATAGCCATACGAATATGAAATTCGCTCAAAGATGGCCCGAAATTGTTCAACGGCTAATCAACAGCCGAAGCAAGTACGATGCCTGTAGAAGGTCACAAAATGGCGCCGGAAACACACATGAAGGTGTATTTTTTAAGATATTACATATTTTATTTAGAAGTTTACCCGCAGGACACACCACTGTATACCTCTCTGGAACATACCAAGTATCAGTATACGTATGCAGCTAGATCAGAGAAGTTCAGGAAAAAAATACCAAAATAATCGATTGATATCCAGCAAAGATTAACACTTTTGAAATTAAGCTACTTGAAATCGGCTGTCTTCGCCTTTACCGTGGTCCCATCTCTATGTCATCGTAATATAATAAGATAGCTACACGACGACATTGCGAACGCTTTACGTAGTTGTGTTGCCTTCCCTAGGCAATCGGGCAGTTTCTAGTTTCCTTCGTTTTGTCTAAGTGAGGCGAAAAATGCCCGATGGCACCGATGATCACACGAAGTTAAGACGAAGATTATACGATTTGACAAGATGCCCTCACGACTGCCTTTATACGCAGTGGGAAATCTATTGACAAAATATTGCATCCCCTGTAAACACAGAAATCTTGATCTTTTCAATATTCACAAATTGTCTCGTTTCAGCAAGGACGCTATTAATTACAAATTCACAAGAAAACGTTCTGGTAAATAGTTACAATAAAATGTAATTGAAATAAAAATAAAATGTTCATATAATGGTATCATTTCCCTCCTAAAGTAGCAAACGACGAGTACAGCAGGTTAAAGGAGCTTTGTGTAAAATTGGTTTCAAATATTGCTACGTGAATAAATTTCAGGTGTACCAACTTCAAATTATTTTTTTACTGACTGTATACCTCTCTGCATGGAACACGCCAATTATCCGTATATGTATGCAGCTAGATCAGAGAAGTTCAGGGCAAAAATTCCAATGGAATCGATTGAAGCACTTTTGAAATTAAGGTAATAAGCAATTTCAAACGGACCTTATCTCGATTTAAATTTGAAATCAAATAGATTGAGAAGACCGCAAATGTATGTACAGAAATCGAGACAACCTTTTCTTAGAATTGTATAAAACACAGTAAAAATATTTTAGCGGATAACCTACTTTACAAAAATATTTATCTTTATTTTTTAACCTGCACGGACATGACTTAAAATTGTTATATTCACGAAAAGACAATATTGCTATGTGGAACGTTTACGTGACAAGAGAAGTCCGGTGTACTCGAAAACTTAAAAGACTTGAAAATAGGTAAATTTTGGGATATTGTAACATTCTAAGAACTATGTGTAACACTCAGAAAATGTTTGACCTGAAAGATCTATAGATTTTGTATGTTCATGATTTTTTCTAATTTTTTTTAGCAATATGCAGCAAAGATTAACATTTTTTTTGAATTTCAGTTTTCAGTTTCACAAGATTCTAAGACGTGTGTCCATGCGGTGTCAATCTCGGGACAGTGTGACGCAGGTATAACTAATGAACAAAACCTATGCCGTATAGTAAGCTATAAAAGGCCCATGCATGACAAAATGCGAAACAATTCAAAAGGAAAAAAAAAGCGGACTGATTTTGTAGGGCAAATTCAATAAATAAACATACGTCATTAAGGACCGCCCATTGAAGTCTTGTGCTCCTTGATTGGTAGTTACTTTTTGTAATAAATATTTTTGATAAGTTGGATCAAAACTAGGGTTAAAATAAATGAAACTAGAGGCTCTAAAGAGCCTGTGTCGCTCACCTTGGTCTATGTGTATATTCAACAAAGGACACTCTCCAACATTGAAGACAAGAATAGAATTCATAAGAAAAATCTCTGTTTTGTTGATCATTTAGTCTGTTTAGTTTCTCTCTATCTTCTTTAGTTTTTTTTGCTCAAAACACAAAAGAGGGTAAACAAATCCTTATTTAAGGGGCTGGGCAATCACTCCCATAAAGAGTGACAGCCTACTACCTTTATCAGCAAAATGTGACTTGTTAGTAGATCGGACGATTTCCTCTATATTGTCTTAATTGTAGATCTTGTCTTGCTGATCAATTTTGCCTATTTAAGATTCTATCTATCTATTATATTTTTTAAGAAGGCAAAAACGCAAAATATTGTAAAAATCACCATGAAAGGGCAATAACTCTCATAAGGAGTATGCTGACGATTTCGACTATGCAAACTTATTTGTAGAACTTGTCTTGCTGATCATTTTTGCATTTTGATGTTTCTCTGTATCTATTATAGTTTTCAAGATAATAGGCAAAAATGAAAAAAAAATGGTAAAAGTTGTCATTTAAGGGCAATAACTCCTATAAGAAGTCGTCTGACAATTTTGACGTAAACGGACAGTTGGTAGAGCTCAACATTCTTTTAAACTAGATACCCTTAGGATGATTGTGGACAAGTTTGGTTAAATTTGTCTCAGTAGTTTCATCAGAGAAGATTTTTGTAAAAGATTACAAAAATTTACGAAAAATTGTAAAAAATTGATTTAAAGGGCAATAACTCCTTATGGGGTCAATTGACAACTTTTGTCATGTTTGACTTATTTGTACGTAGATCTTACTTTGCTGAACAATTTTGCTGTTTACAGTTAATCTCTATCTATTATAATATTCAAGATAATAACCAAAAACTTCAAAATTTCCATAAGCGTCTGAAAATTTCAGGGCAGATAGATCTTGACCTAATAAACATTTTTCCCCCAAGTCAGATTTGCTCTAAATGCATTAGTTTCAGAGATATAAGCCAAAAACTGCATTTTACCCCCATGTTCTATTTTTAGCCATGGCGGCCATCTTGGTTGATGGGCGGGGTCATCGGATACATTTTTCAAACTAGATATCCTACGGATGAATTAGGCACAGTTTGGTTTTATTTGGCTCAGTAGTTTCAGAGGAGAAGATTTTTGTAAAAGTTAACGGACGACGACGGACGATGGACGCCAAGTGATGAGAAAAAAAAATGAATGACGAATGCTGAATGCACTTATATTTTTTACTTCAGGATTGTAAAGTAATAGGGGTCAGTTTTAGAATTGAGTGCGAATCTACAGTGTTTGCAAACAAGACCAGGTAAATGGCCCAAAAAATCCGCATAACCCTGTGTTTTGATTGATGCAAAAGATGGGTCTACATTTATACTTTAGGGAATGATATATACGAAAGCTTCTGATTTCTAAAGAAAAACCAGGTATAAATTTAATTTCAGCAATAGGTTTGCATTGAAGTCAATGGGAGATTTTTAACTGAATTTCAATGACCCTATATATGATAAAAACATTAAACGAAAAACATATTGACAGCAGACTGCATTCAAGTTTATATGCAAATTATATGCAAAACCATTTTTTAAAATAAAGCAAACAATAAAAACACGTGGAAAGCTACGACATAGCAGTTTTGACGCGTAAATCGCCGAGACTAACTGATTTCTACTAAATATTAATTCAGTTTTATTCAATTTAATATCATTAAACGGAAACATCCATAGCAATACCATATCAGTTTAAGTGCTCGAGAATTCTTAAATTAAAGTGGACAAAAATATTAGTACAACTTTCAATTTTTCCATTTAGATATTTCCACAACAAAAATGATTGGCACATCTACACATGACAGGTCACATATCTGTAAATTTCATGGAGTTTGAATCAATTCTCAAGTTTTCTCATATTTGATGTTTCCATGGTAACAGTGGCCATTAAAAAAGCCCACACACTGATTGCAGAACTGCACAAGGTGTATATGATTATGGTACAGTTTTATCAAAATTGGTCCAGTCCATTTCTCCGAGAAATAAGCAGCACAAAAAGTGTGAAAGAAATATAAGGAGAAAAAAGGAATAGTAACAAAAATGCAAAGGTTTGTCCATTTTGCATTAGAATGGAGATAACTTATATAAAATTCCAAGTTTCACACATGCATCTCCTAATATTACTATCTTGTAGCACATCCTTCAGAAATCATTATAGGAACTTTTAATTCAAATAACAGTTGAAAAAAACAGGTATATATAGAAACAGACTGACTTACCTATTGCACAACATAGTTTACGCGTAGCACCAATTGAAAGTATCTCTCTAGCTATGAGGAAATCGGCGAAAATTCCAGCAATTATAATAAAAACCCAAAATAACAAGTATGGTATCATAGAAAATACTCCGTTCTGAAATTAATAAATCAAGATACTATTTAAAGAAACACATTAATTAAAGGCTCTGAAGAAAATATACTGCTCAAGTGCGAGTTTTTTATGGTCCTATGGCATACATTTTGTAAATTTGATTACGGAAAATCCAATTTAAAGTTTATTCTAATGTTTTAACAATCATCATTCAATTTGTATTGTGTGTTGGTTGTGTATTTTATTTCTTATTTTCGTGTTCTTTCTTTCTATTTTATTTTGCTATCTTTTTTGGTGTGTAATATATTGTTTTTGTCAAAAGCTTTACACATCAGACTGTGTAAAAAATATGACTAACTTGAACATGAGGTTAAAGTACATAGTAAGTATCAAACCAGTGATTTGTTGTATTTTTCAACTGAATGTTACCAAGCAATTATTCTAATAAAGGTCATGAAAAATATGACATATCTTCTACCTACCGACTTAATATCAAACTTTAAAACTTCTTTCATATATGTAGGCATTTGCGTCAACAACATATATGCACCATAGTTCCCACACGCATTAGCTATAAGTATAGCCCACATAGCACCAGACGACAATATGCTTTTCCAAGGTTTTGGTGAATGCTGTATGAAAAGATCAAGATGCCCACAATTAGAAACATATCATTTATACTACAATGTACATAACTGTTTGTTTACACTATATTTTTCAATTATATTCGTTTAATTTACTACTCTGAACTATTCATTTCCAAATATTTTTGAAAAAATATTTCGCAAGTTTATCACTAGATATTTAAAGTACACATTTTGACGGTTTTTAAACTTTAAGTTTGTTGAGTATGTAACTGTAGTAAAACTATCATAATAATGGTTGTGAATCCTTCACTTGAAGTTTACCTTAGATGGTTTTGGTTAATCTGAACAGTATATATGAACATAAATAAACGTGGTATGATTGCCGATGAGACTTGTAACTCTCCACCAGAGACCAAATGACGTAGAAGTTTTGTTTTGATGCTTCTAAAACCCTTCACATTTAGGCGTTTTAATCTTTTGATTTCGAACATTTCAGCATATAAATAACTATAAATGGCATTATTTAATTGAAACTCGTCTCGTCTACTAGTATCTCTTCATATACCAGGTGTTTCGATTACTTTATAATTTGCATACCTCGTCATCTTACCAGGTGTATCGATTACTTGACACTTTGCATATCTCGTCATCTATCAGGTGTGTCGATAATTTAAACTATGCATATCTCGTCATTTAACCAGGTGTGTCGATTACTTGTTATTTTGTATACTAGTATACTTTTTATCTTATCAGGTGTGTCGATTACTTTATCCAATGCATTTCTCTTCATTATAACAGGTGTGTCGATTACTTTTACTTTTCCATACAAGTATCTCGTCAATTAACCATGTGTGTCGATTACTTTTTCTTTTGCATAGCACTAGTATCTCTTGTCTTACCAAGAATGTTTCGATTATTTTTACATATCTCTTCATTTTACCTTATGATGATGCTGATAATCGGGATCATCGTCGTCACCAAGGGAATGCAATATATATTTCTTTTCTATATCTGTTATACCTGGCATTTCTTCGGGAGAATCTCGAACAAAAACTATCCATATAACACACCATACACATGATACAGCACCTAATCATGAAGAATAATAGGTAAATTACAAAAGTCTACCAATGAACAGACAACAATATAAATTGACATTAGAAACGAAAAATCCTAATGCAAACAAACTTTGTTTATAGAAATCTAAATTGCACTAGAAAATAAATATTTGAAATATCGCAACTACTGTTTTAATGATTTTGAATATTGCAGTCTTTGACAAACATTGATTTTACGTATCAGCAACTTCCTGTTACAGATAAAAATGTTTGAAGTTAAATCTTTAACATGAGGCGGGTAATGGTTTCTTTTCTGAAAAAATATTCTGATCCCCAATTTGATGAAAAAAAAATTAATCTGGTCAAGCAGATGACAAAAAAAAAATATTCTGAATCCAGATTTTCCCAATACCTTATAGTGTTAAATTTTGAAAAAAAAATGATTTAATTGATAGCATCGAAAAACTAAATAAAAATGTTCGAAAAAATTTTCTGACTCAGAAAAAAATCATAATCCCCCCCTTCCTTGAAGTTAAATGGTTGCTCCCTAAGTATATGAAATGACAAAGAAGAAAAACGATAGATTCAATTTGTATAAAACAACAAAAAATAAATTTGTCTAGAGGAATTTGAAACATCAGTATTTGCCATTGTTTTCTGACTTTTGTGGCAAATAATGATTTTGTCAATCTATGCAGTTTTTGATAATGATATGTTAATGATAACAACCTGTTTAAATTTTGATAATGATAATAATAATGACAACCTGTTTAAATTTTGATAATCGGAGGAATGATTTTTTTTCAGTCTTAGTAGATATGTTTATATAGCACATTTAGTTTTACTTTCTCACCTAAAACATAATATATCGAAGGCCATCCACCGTCAAAGCCATAGGCACACAATAAACTACCGATAGGAAAAGCTAGGGCATTTCCAAGCTGGCATCCTGTAAAATACGACATATTTAGAGCTGTTTTCCTAATCCTTGTAGTTTAGGAATATTATACATGTACTCTGCATTTTACTCAACATTCAATAACATTTAAGTATAATGTATACAAGCTGAAGCCCGCCTATCTATTGATTGCAGATGTCAATCTTAATTACAATGCTTGAACAAGCCAACCAAACCTTTAAACCACAAGCATTAGGAAAATAGCTCTAAAGGCTCTACGAAGCTCAATCCTTTAAAACTTTTACAATTTTAACAAAAAGATAACATTTGGCAAACTAAGCTTCAGGTGGCTTTATTTCAAACTATCCCCTAAAGTTTTGGAAAATTTCACTGTGTAGTCTAGTTTGGAGAAGAAGATTTTTGAAAATAGGCCAATACAAATCAAAGATTGCTTGTCCATGTTTTCTATCTGATTAGAATCATTTCATCTTGTTGAAAATGCACCAGATGTTAGTTGATGGAAGTTAAGTTTGAGCGAAAGAAAAACATTTTAAAAACCCGTGCTAATAATTTTAATTATAACTGACATAGGTATAACTACTAAAATAGTAGCGGGTTTAAACTTCTTAAAATAAGACATCTATACTCCCCGTATTAATCCTGAACAGTGGAAACCCCAATTAAAAGTTTATAATTGTAACACAACGTACCAAAAACTTAATAACAGAAAAGACAGTTACCGACACAACTGAGAACACAAGAACATGCAAAACAATATTTAACAATAATGTATCAAAGAATGCTCGCAGTTACTGAGAGCAAGCTCAATATCGGCGGCCGTACGTATGAGAGTTAATTGTATAACATTATATACACCACCGTATATAAAAAGGAGTTGATGAGCATTTAATCTGAAAATGCATCACACTTTAAGACATGCTCACATGAAGCTTGTTACCAAATTTCAGAAATCTCTGATTTGAAGTTCCTGAATAAAAACCTGTATATCCCTTACTTTGGAACTGGTGTATAATTAAAGAAACACTTGGTCTGGTTTTGATATATATGATTTAGCAAATTAATTTTAAATCTCTACCCAATGGCCAAAAAAATCCAAAGACGCAAAGATTGAACAACTATTATAACATATTCATAATCTTTAACGATAAGTCACAAAAGGTTGGAAAATCATGAAATTGCATCAGTATTTTAGAAGAAAGCTTATAAATTGAGCTATATCCTAGTATGTCTGTTTTTTTTCTTTTTAAAATTTACTGTAATTCCTTTACCTCCAAATGAAAATCCTACTAATCTACTTCTTTCTTCAGGAGGAGACCATTTTGCCCACAGAACCTGTGCTCCAGGATACATAGTTGCCTGCAAGTATGTCATGGTAAGTTAGACTATCGTTTCTGAAAGTACCTTTCTGAAAGTACCTTAAGTTGATTATTAAAAAGTAAAATAACACAAATACCGAACTCGAAGGAAAATTCAAAACGGAAAGTCATTTATCAAATGGCAAAATCAAATGCTCAAACACATCAAACGAATGGAAAACAACTGTCATTTTGCTGACTTGGAACAGGCATTTCCTTATGTAGAAAACGATGGATTAAACCTGGTGCTATTGCTAGCTAAACCTCTCACTTGTATGACAGTCGCATAGAATTCCATTATATTGAAAACAATGTGTGAGCAAAACAAACCGACATAATAGGTAAAAATGTCAAAAATTGAGGTACAGCAGTAAACATTGTGTTATAATCCTAATAACTATAAAAAAAAACAGATAACTATTTCAACAAATAAAAACAAAATGGCATTTAGACACTCTATAGACATTAACATTTGAATATTAAAGTAGTCAAATAAAGAAAAATGTCAATCTTTAATTAAATAGGTTTCAGTATTAAATTGCGTAAATAAAATCCATGTCGCTACTGCATACGTACGCACAGTTGATAGATGAATTTTCCACACGCTAAAACATGAAAACGATATAAGATAATATAAAGTGTTTCTTGTTGAAACTCGTATGACCTTTTATTACTCAATAACGAAATTCACTTCGATGATGATGATGATGGGTGTCAAATTAAATGCATATTCAGGGCGAGAACATATTAATATAATATGAATATTAATCCTGCTTTGTACAAGACCGACAGGCTAAGCCGGATTTTTAAAGTGCTAGTTCATAAGGTCACAGTCCGCAGGCAGAAATGTCATCCTACCCGGACACATTATTCTTACTCCGAGCCGACCAGTCTTTGCTCTTAATTCTTAATGCCGCGTGCTTAGCGGAGACGCAGCAAATGACAATTTTAAAGTCTGGTTTGACCCGGCCGGGGTTCCAACCCACGACCTCGCCAGTCGAGGCGAACACGCTATCGTGCCTGAGACCACCGAGGCGGTAAATTCCATTCGAAATGGATATAAAAAGAAATATCAAAGTAATTTCGAAAGCGAACGCCGCCATATAATCATTTCGGCTATAATTGTCTTCCTTTTTTTTATTTCTTTTTTTTTGGTAATGGCCCATTATCACTGATGGTAAATTGCGCGATAACCTAAAATTCTTAAGGGTCGTGTTTTTGCAACTTTGCGATCTGTGTTCTTACTGCTTCTTTACCTTTTTAACGACGGACGTGTAAAGCTACTTTTAAAAACGAATGATAGATGTGGAAAAAGGTAGTTTTTATTCGACTAGTGGTATTTTGGTTTCACATGAGAACATTGTTGAAAAACGAAAGACGGAAGAATTATGAACGCTTAATAATGTCAATGTTTTCTCTATGCAATTTGGGGTTTAAAAACTTCCTTTGGACATTTACTACTAAGTTTCAGAAAATTAAACGCGTTTAGTCACAATCTAATGTTGATACGTTTAAAAATGTAAAACAATTGAAAACATGAGATAAAAGAGCAGATATTCTTTTATGTGATTGTTTTCGTTTTGTTTTTGTTTGTTAATTGTTTGTTAATGGTTTGTTAATGGTTTGTAAATGGTTTGTTAATTGTTTGTTAATGGTTATCTTTTTCTATTGTTTTGATTGTTTATGATTGTGTGAATGTTTTTTCAAATAACTATTTGGAAAAAAAATCACAAAGAAATGAAACAATGTAAAATAAATGTATATTTTTAATTATATAATGAAATTAGATACATGGTGCCTAGATAAAAAAAAATATGCCCAATTGACCTAATGTTAACAAAGTGTTGTTTTCTCAACAAAACCATATATTTAAGGGAATAAACGGGATTTTTTTCTATTAAGTGATTTAAAAAACCATGCACTTTTTTAAACCCAAAATTTGAAAATTGGATGTTTGAAAGTCATTTTATATATTTGAATAATAATTTCACATTTTTGAAATAGGGTGCCACTTTTTTGTCATCCTTTCTCGCACTTTTCTGAATTATATGCAATCGCATTTTGAAATAAATGGTTTTTATTGGATAATTCAGCAGTTTTTTCTATGTATCATGTTTAATGTTATTAAGTTTAAAGTTTGTTGTTGACTAATACATTGTAAAATGAAATGGCGTTAACTTTTTTCAATATTAGCGGAATATCAGGCTATCCCTCCTTTAAATGTTTGCCCGAGACGAATAAACTAACTTAACTGGCCAAATCCAAATTGACAACAGTTTTTGTTTTTCAAAGAGTATACTCAAAATGATTTATGAAGAAAATTGTTACACTATTAAAACATTGCCGTTAACAAACTTATTTGATAAGATATATAAAATATATTGTACTTACTTCGCCCACACCAATAAATACCCTACAAACAGTTAGAAGATATGGACTTGTTCTGGCACAGATAGGTGTAAGTAGTGTTAGTGTTGATACTAGTATCATTCCTATTGAAATAGTAAGCCGAGGTCCAAATCGTTCTGCCAACCAGCCTCCAGGAATTTGTAGAAGGGTGTAACCCCAGAAAAAAGCTCCAAGAATCAAACCTTGCAGTTTTTTGTCCCAAACAAACTCTCCCATCTAAAGAATAAGATATAATAAAAAATAAAACAATATAAACAGTGCAGTGGAAAATGCCCATAAGGGAACGACCATTTAACCTCAAAAAGGGGGGGGGGGGGGGTAATGGTCTTTTCCTAAAATAGTCTGATCCCCAATTTGATGAAAAAAAATACTGTGGTCAAGCAGATGAAAAAAAATCATTACTACTGTGATGTGTGTTAAATATAATATATTATTCATATATTGTTATAAGTTTTTAGTCATTTACTATTAAAACGTAATTCAAAACAGCTTCATACACCAAACTTCATTGACAAGCAGTGACAAAATGTTGATTTTTCAGATACATCTAAAAGAAAATACAAATTAAGCATTTCTTCATATTTTATAAACGTAATCACGATAGGGATTATTTATTTGCTTAATACTATCAATTTCAATCGACCGAAGCGCTTTCTGGATTTACCTCCATCAGGAAGTACGCTTAACGCCGAATGATTGATAGCAGAACCCAAACAGTTGAAGTTTAAGTTGAGGTATTATAGATAATATTCATATTTCTAGAAAAATTAAACGACTCTAACTCCTATCCTGCAGGTATTGTATTGATTCACGGTTTTAATTTGGTTAATTGCAAGTAAAAAACAATCATAAATAATTCAAAGCTGATAGGGAGATTAATATCCAATAAAACTATGTAACACTATATCCTTGTACTATTGCAGTGAATAAGAAGAGGTGTTGAGTATTCGTCAAAGAGACAGCAATACAACGCCGCAGATAATAAATAGACATATATATTAAGGAACCTCCTTAATATTACGATCCCAATTTGATGATAACTCGCATCATTTTTTTTTACATTTTGTTCTGAATTCTTGCATTTATGCACGACTCTGACTCAATATTAAAGAACAATGTCAACGACAATAACCATATTGGGATGCCATTCATCGTAATGCCGAAAGATAATACCATCAAAGAACCTTTTCAACAACATCTAGTCCGAGAAGGCTTTAAACAATCACACAGTTTGACATATTTAGTAACAGAGGCACCATGATTGATAGTTGTTTTAATGTTCCATAATAATTTCAAACTGGCATTACATTTTATAGTTTTCTTATCGTTCGGTAGCAATATATTTGCCCCAATGTGTTCTTAAAATTTTATTGTATGTTCATTTTCTTTATTTTAGTGATCAAGGATGCTGTTTTTCATGCTTATATTAAGGGTCAACAGCTTACATAAAAATGTTACATTTATCCAAAGTTTGGTATTTGGTAGTCCTTTTGTAGGATATAAAAACAATCTCTTTTTTTTTAATTTTCAATAATCTATATTATATATATTAAATCTACAATCAGCATTAACGGTGGATGAAACCTTTGATGGTGGCCGGTGATAATAACCTCCTGGCGACCCTATTTGGTAACAGCAGCGATGATCAGCCATCTTTTATAAAGCGGATAATAGGTTTAAACTTTCCCAAGAGTGCGACTGCAATTGGTTCTTTGTCTTTACAGCGAAAAAGCAATTTTAAGATAACAACACAGGAAAACAAAACGTCATTGAAGGGTTTTAAAACTGCCAATAAAATGACGGCGTTTACCATTAACATTAACCTTGATATGTCATGAGAAAAAAAGACAAAGGAACAATGAATATTTACTATACACATGCTGTTTTGTATACAGTTTCTGTATGGCATATGTCAGTTGTCTTTGACCTCATGGTTTGCTAAACGAGTCGCAAATTAACAGATTTCGTATTGGGGCAAAGTTCAGATTTTTTGGCGTCCGTTAGTTTGTAGGTGTTTGATAGTCAAAGATCAACACAAACAAATGGTAAAAAATGTACAAAATCAAGAAATTAAGATTTTTATTGGGAAATATTTGAACTGAGTCACATGCATGTCCTAATTCAAATAAATAATTCTATCCTAATGTGTTGTTTGCTAGATAAATTATTTTCATAAATAATGACTTCAAAATGTTTGGCATGTTTAGTTCAAAGATTTAATGCGTATACCAAAATTTGGAATTTTGTTCTCGTGTTTAACAAATAAATCTTTGTACTCCAAAATGAAACACATATGACGGTAGCGTTATCATGAAAACTTTTAATTTGATGACATTTTAAGTGACTTTGTACTAGTACTTGCCAGACTTGATGTTGACCGTGCCACTGGACACTGTTTTATTGTACTTCTAATGATCACTGTACTTGTTTCATCCTCGGAAAGTGTACTCCCGCCATTTGAAGTATAATTAGTACTTATATTATATATAGATGATCTATTGTCGACTGTTTGGTCGTTGTTTGGTGAATGTTCATATTTCACCATACAGACAATGGCTATACTTAGATTCACCCTTTGAGCATAAAGACAGAAAAATCCACAAAAACATACTATGGATAAACATAAACGTTTAGATGTCCACCATGGAACTGAAAGGGAAATAAACAGATATCCTTCAATATGAACCAATTCGAAAAGTGACATGACTGAGACGACTTTTTCTTGAGTAATTTTTTTTGCTTGCCAAAGTAGTTTATCATTGCATGAAGCAAATCTTCCAAATAAGTACCTTTTTTAAAAGAACGATCTTGTTTTTTTCTTGTTTATGTATTTTTCTAAAAAAAAATCATTTCTATCCTCTTAGAATTTCAAAAAAGGAAAGATTGAAGATTGAAGTTTATGATAATTGTATCATAATGTTGAAAGCCACTCATATTTTACTAGTAATTTGAGGCATTTGAGGACATGTCTAGCCGATGAAACTTCGAGGCAAACTGTCTAATTTTCATGATTATTTCATTTGATTATATCAGAGACATATATTAACACTTTTCTATTGTTTCATGAAATCAAATTTTACAGCACAAATATTTGAAAAATACACGTCTAGCTAGCACCAGTAGACAAATACAGAAAAACGTGCTGGGTTTTTGGTTATTTTTTTGTATTTTTTTGTTTTTTGGTTTGTTTTTGGTGTTTTTTTTTGTTTTTTTTTGTTTTGTTTTTTTGTTTTTTTGTTTTTTGTTTTTTGTTTTTTGTTTTGTTTTGTTTTGTTTTTTGTTTTGTTTTGTTTTGTTTTTTGTTTTGTTTTGTTTTGTTTTGTTTTGTGTTGCGTACGATGCCATGTTATGTTTTCTAATTGCCTTTCGACTAAAGTGCTTCGGTTATTTAATGTACTGTGTTGAAATTTTGTATACTTTGAAAAATACTTTTACACACAAATGATGTTAACGAATGAATAAAAAAATGTGTGCACAATTGTTAAATTTTATAAAATTTGACTGAAAAGGGGATATAAAAGACATTTCTAGCCGAATTCGATTCGTCATCATTAATGAAATGAGATAAATTAATTGCGAAATTTGATGCAATAAAGGTAGAAACTGACTTTCAGAGAAGAAATAGGCTTTTATTAATCAAACACAAAATCAGTATTACTGAATAAAAAACATAAGACGAGAAACAAAATGAAAAATCAAATAAGAGAAAATGAAAACAAACATTCGATTTACAACATTTAAAGACAAATTTATGGTCTTACTCTTTCTTGCATAGTATTCTTCGTCTGTAAAATATGATTAAACAAAGCAGTAAGATAAAGAGTGTTATGTAAGATATCCTTATTTTACTTAGATCTCATATTTTGGAGGCTATCATCACTAATACGTCAGTTGGTGAACATTGATTTTAAGTTCAGCGACAAATATTACTTGTATAGGCTTGGTGTTGCATTTCCGGGCCCCTAAAGAGTTGTTGATATTGTTCTTAAGCACGCAGAGAGAGTGGCGCTTACCCTACACAAGGCAGCGGATGTAAGGTTTCCAATCCGACCTGACGTGCCTGCGTATTTATACAGCCAACAAACCCAAAATGATGCCCCATTTTAGTAAGGTTTTTACTGCCGGGCGAGAGAGGTCTAGGGCAGACCATATTTATACACTCCACTCAACCTTTTGGTTGTTAAATAAAATTTATAGTCGTGACAAGAAGAAGATAAATACTAAAGACAGCACGAAAAAATACTTGTATTAATAAAAAAAAAAAGAGGCGAAATTCTAGGTTAGGAAGCTACCATTTGATTTTTATGGGGGCTAGGATGAAATTTGAAAAACAGCCAGGACAGGAGTTTTGAGTAAAAAAAAAAAGGCAGGATGAGCAACTTTGCAAAAAAAAAATGCAGGATGACAATTTATGTAAAAAAAAGGTCAGGATAAACTAATAAAAAAAGGCAGGACAGAGATTACAACTAAAAAAAAATGCAGGACAAAATTTTTCATCCTAGCCCCTCCCCCCCCCCCCTAAAAAAATCAAATGGTAATTCCCTTACTGCATTTTGAAAAAAAGAGATGTTCAATAAAATTGTTTGTCGATTTTTACGTGAAGAAAAAGAAAAGTACCAACCCCCGGATATCCTTTGAAAATGTTGAGTTGTTTCGATCGTGCTTTGATTTATTAGATTCCTCAACACGTTAATGAGTTTGATTACAGTTTCTTATTTTGACGTTTTCCAATTACTTTAAATACTTATTTATGAATAAAAATAGATGTTAGGTATACGTTAATGAGATAGGAGTCCGACTTATTTTAATATGTTGGTAAACTTATATATTCAGTGAAATTAACTATTTCGAAACTTTTTTCCGTCTAAATATAAAAATAGGAAGATGGGGTATGATTGCCAATGAAATAACTCTCCACAATAGACCAAATGACACAGAAATTAACAACTATAGGTCACCGTACGGCCTTCAAAAATGAGTAAAACCCATACCGCATAGTCAGCTATAAAAGGCCCCGAAATGACAAATGTAAAACAATTCAAACGAGAAAACTAACGGCCTGATATATGTACAAAATAATGAACGAAACACAAATATGATATGCAGTTACAAATGACAACCACTGAATTACAGGCTCCTGAATTAAGACAGGCACATACAGAATGTGGCGGGGTTCAACTAGTTTGAAGGCGCCAACCCTCCCCTAACCTGGGACAGTGGTGTAACAGTACAACATAAGAACAAACTATAAAAATCAGCTGAAAAGGGCTGAACTCATCAGATGGATACAAAGCAGAAATACATCTAACAAAAACACAGAGTGGACGTGGCAGGGTACTTATACATCCCCATAACAAAAAGACATTAATGACAGATCTGAGAGTACTTGCAGTTACTGATAGCTTGTCATCATAACCTTTATTATGATGATTTGTTCAAGATCCAAAATATGTTTTATGTTGATAAATGCAGGTGGTAGAGTAAAGGGTCTCCGTCCCGATCAAACTGAAATAATAACTATTTTACCTCCTTCTTTTTCTATCTCTATTTCTTTCTTTTCTTCAAGTATCATGGACTTAAAAGAGTCACAATGAGGTAGACCAAGACTCGACTGTCTTCTGTATGACAACCGACGATGGAGACTCCCGCTTCCAACACTCCGACCACTGAGAACGGAATCATGACGAGTTCTACTGACAACTGAATCATTCCGATTTCGTTGGTTCTTGAGTAATCTAGCTTTGGGAGATCCAACACCTCTGATATCTCTTTCTGGTGTTTTTGTTGTTTTTTCCGACATTCTGTTGAAAGCAATTTGTTTAAGGAGAAATTAGTGCACTATATTGGATAATAAACTAAACTTAAAAGAATTTATCTTAACATCTTGTAAAAAGATGAAAACATAAACATAAATAGTAACATATTTTAGTGTGCTGTATACACTAACTTGAAAAAAAAACGTCAACATTTTTCCAGGTACATGCGCTTGTGTTTTAGTTGCATTGTGTTGTTATGTTGTAGTCTTCTAGACAAATAATCCAACATATTTTTCTTTTTATACGGATTCTTATATAAATTCATGTCTTTCTTTATTATTGTTGTGATGTATTATGTAATGTGTTATTTTGTTTTCATGTATGCCACCAACCCCATTGGGGTATAATAGTGCATTATTTTCAATAGATAAATATATATAAAAAAGTCAATTTTGAGTTTGAAAACTAAAAATGATCATAGTTGAACATTCTAAAGTTTGTTTTCAAATCCAAGATTTCAAAATGATTTTTGAACACATTTGTTTTCAAATTTTTAGATACAAAGATTTGGATTCAACATTTTAAACTATAAAAAAGAAGTATCATATTCATGTTTTGCAATTTCTTTGAACCACTATATACTTTACAAAATCTGGATTGCTTTTCTTCGATAGTTTGTCCTGATTAAGACTTTAAAAAATGTATAAGAAATGGTACTTACATGTACTTACTTTATTCTTCAATTTAACAGAATTGAAATAACGCTTATAATGCTTTCTTCAGAAATGTCGTGGGCTCATATCGTCAGCACTTTTCAGCCAATCCTAGCAATAATCAATAACACATATATGTATACGAATATACGTATTTTAATGTATGTCTATTGGTTTGATTCGAAAACACTTTTAGAATATTTACCATTAACAATCACCATTTTTGAAATGACATAAAATGCGATATAATCGATTAAATTCATCTTTCCCAAAACGTTGATAGGAAACATGTATCAAGGTCGGTAAAAGGACACAACAACCTTCATGGTCCTTCATGCTGTAACTGGAATCAATACGTGCAAAAATCTACCGATTTCATCAGATATTTAAAAAATCGATTGTTAATCAATTCAAACGAACTACTCGCTGCAGCAACTTTAACTTTTCGCACATTAGTATAATGCGCACTTAATTGGAACAGACGACCTTAACATAGTTTAATACATGAAACAATAGGAAGACAATCAAACGGAAGCAGGTTATTTCCGCAGAAGTTAATATTTTGTCCATGATCAGTGTATCTGAATAAATAGAAGCTTACATAATTCAAGATTGAGATGTGTATATATATAGTACCTGTACTGCAAGACATGATTTTTTTACTATCTAGGACATCAACAATCAAAGGCGATTCGAATTTTTTTCAGGAAAAAGGAATGAAAAATTATGGTTTATAATGTTTTCCACCTTTGTATTTTAATTTTTCTGTGTTAGTAATTTTGTATATTCGGTTTTTTTCTCAGTTTAAGTACTAGAACAGAAAAACAGCTCTTTCATAGGGTCCGTATACATATAAAGATAAAGATAAAAGCTTCGCCTCTAGCAATAGTTTGTATCTAAGAGACAACAAACTTTGTATTACCCTCATAACCAGTCAATAGGTGTATACTAGCACGAGTAACATTTGGTGCACATATTTAGACATGACTAGGGGTACATATTCTTACGCTAATTGAAATGGTCGAATGGTGAACAATGGCTGTAATGGACAGCTATTTTCATATTAGTTGAATTTCAAATTGAACACGAACACAGCAGTGAAAAGTAAATACAAATTTGGTTATCTTTATCAATGTTTATTTGTACTAAAACCTTAAAAGCTAGCCTAAAAAAGACTTCTGGTACTTGTTGAATGGAATACCCTCCCTCTTTTTTAAAAATATTTTTCCCCACTTTTTTCATTCCTGTTCTTATGTTTGCTGTTACACCACTGTTCCAAGTTAAGAAGGGTACAGCGTTCAAAAAAAATGTTTAATCCCGCCATTTTAGTATGCCTGTCCCACGTCCAGAATCCGTAATTCGGTGGTTGTCGTTGGTTGCTGTCTGTCATATTTGTTTTTTGTTAATTGTTATGCCATAAATCAATCCTTAGGCTTTCTCGTTTGAAAGGTTTGACATTCTTTCAAGTCGACCTATAGTTTTTTTTACATCAATGCATGTGGCAAACAACAATACGCAAGAATATGATTGCTCAAATGAATAAGATGAACTACAACTTAAAGTGATTTCGAGATCAATACGCAGTTAATGATCTTTTCGTGGCACGGATCGTGTAGTTCGCGATGTTAATTGCAAAGGTAACAAATATAACTGTAAAATTTTAAACAGTCTGTTTCCGAAATAGAATGGCCCTTTTTATTCCAGTCCGTTTTTATACCTTTAAATTCAAGCCCTGTGAAAAATACCAAAATCTCTCTGCACAAACCATAACCCGAACAACAACTCTTAAAAAAGGTTCGATGGTGACTTGTAAATGTCTAATTCAAACCAGTTACGCTATGTTTTCGAGATGTTATCAAAATTTTTCATATATCCGATTCATTGACTAAACTATTTCTGTGAGGCTAACCTATTTGTTATTTACGGTTGTTTTCTGGAATCGACTCTTCTTAAATCAGCCACTCAAATATAGTCACCTAATGGTGAAATTTATACAATGCAAAAAAGGATATCCAAAATATTAAACAGTGCTGCAAACCATCTCGACCACAAACAACCGATTTATCAGAGAAAATAGACGAACAAACATAAACAACAACGGAGAACACATGTTCTAAATGTTTATATGGAACGCCATGACTGCCTCATGTTGATGATCATCATTATATGCAGTGGTCACAACATTATATGCAGTGGTCACAGCATTATATGCAGTCTTGGAAGCATTATATGCAGTGGTCACAACATTACTAGTATATGCAGTCGTGACAACATTATATATGCAGTTGTCGGAACATTATATGTAGTGGTTACAACATTATATGTAGTCGTGGTAACATTATATGCAGTTGTCGGAACATTATATGCAGTGGTCACAACAGTATACGTGTTTTGTGTCACAACATTGTATGCAGTCGTGACAACATTATATGCAGTGGTCACAACATTAAATGCAGTGGTCACAACATTATATGCAGTGGTCACAGCATTATACGTGTTTTGTTGGTGAAGGTGATGATCAGTGATAGTTATGATGATGATGATGGTGGTTCAAATTCGGTAAACTTCGTAAATTTTTTATCGGAAATTGCCGAATCCAGTTATAATTGATAATGCCCCGCAAACAAAATGAAACAGTTATTGAAGTCATGTAATTTAGGCAATTCGATTGAAATCTTTATCCGAGAAAAAATAACGCCTGCTATTGTCTGCAAATTGGACAGACATAATTTTTTTAAATTTAGGGGTAGTTCATTCCGAGGAAATGATAAAACTAAGAGTTGCATGCATTAACTAGTTCTGTTCGTCTTAAGAAATACGCATGGCATAATGTAAGTAAAATAATGATAAATAATAATGGAATATCAAAGGACAGTTTGTATACTATATGACTCGAGTTCATTTCCTACTGAAGAACTATTGCTAGGTGCCACTTTATAATCCATATTCAGTTTAAATGGCATAAATATATTTTTAATAAACAAGTGTGGACACAGATCAGTGTGGACAGTATGATTGGATGTTTGACAGTGTTTTATATGACAAAAGGAGTTCTATGTTTTATGTTTTTTATGTATTAACTGTGTTGCACAATGACAGCCAACATGAGCATTAGGGGTGTTGTTTATGTAATATTTAGTTTTTTATGTTCAACAGATACTAATTGCATTAATTACCAAATGATTATGATAGAATATATATGTTCCACATCTTTGATTTTGGATACATTTTGTAGCTAGGAGAGGAACACATAATAGGTTCATTTTTTTCTTAATGTGATTTTTTTTTATATGGGAGATGGTATCTGAGAACATGTATTTGCTTACTATTTGTATGGTTCTATTTATATTACTTTGTGGGGGATTGTCAGTATCATAAGTAAAAGATTTCGGTTAAATGTGGAAATTGTTTCTCAGTTTAGAAGACATTTAATGTTTTTTAGTAATGACAATGCCTGACATGATGATTGGGGCTAGATGAGCTAGAAAGTGAATTTCTGTGTTATTTTTTATTAATTCTTTGAAAATATCTCCTCCAAAGCTGGTCAAAGCAGAAAAAAGTTTTGACCAGTATGAAAATGATATCAACAAAAGAACCTTTGTGAGCATGCTTCAAAGACTCATAACTAACTACAGAAATCATATGATAAAATGTCAAGTGGATATTATGAACATCTACTTAATATGTCTAAATATCTAAAAAGTTTTAGTATTCAATATGAAAAAGCTATTGCAAAAGTGTGTGTAAGTTTTATAACATTTGGAAGTCAGAGAACGGAAACGAAAAATTCAGCAATTTTTATGTTTATAAAGGGACATAACTCAAGAATGGTAAAAGTGTTGCCACCAAATTTCGTACTTAATCTGTATTATGTAGTAATAAGCATTGTGTATAAGTTTCATAACATTTGGTTGAGGCAAACTAAAATAAGAGAACGGAAATGAAAAATTCAGCAATTTTTCCATTTGTAAAGGGGCATAACTCTAGACCGGTAAAAGTGACGCCACCAAAATTCAAACTGGATCTGTGTTTTGAGGTAATAAGCATTGTGTATAAGTTTCATAACATTTGGTTGAGGCAAACTAAAGTTAGAGAACGGAAATGATAAATTCAGCAATTTTCCATTTGTAAAGGGGCATAACTCTAGAACAATAAAAGTGACGCCACCAAAATTCAAACTTGATCTGTGTTTTGTGGTAATAAGCATAATGTGTATAAGTTTCATAACATTTGGTTGAGGCAAACTAAAGTTAGAGAACGGAAACCAATTTTGGGACGTACGTACGTACAGACGGACAAGGGTAAAACTTAATGCCCTCTCCGATACGGCTGGGCATAATAAAGTGTAACAAAAGAACCTAGCATCATATTGCTAGTAGCGCCAGTAGCATTGTTTGGTGAATTTGTGCTTCTTTATTTTAGTTTGGCTAATGGAAAAAAAATGTTTGGTTCAAATCTAAATAAAATGCTTTTATCTCCCTATTACTTACATTGTTCATAGAATGGATACCACTTTGACAATTCCTTGTACATGAGAGTTGTCTGTCAAATCTTTATTTCACAAAGAATGAATTGCATAACAATGAACTGAGCTCAAAGCAAAGCACTTGAATAATACACTTAGACAATGAGCTCAATCCAGTGATATACTTTGTACTACAGGTCCATCATGAACATCCTACTGGCCAAAACCATATCTCACAAACATGCCATACTACATGGTTGGATCAGAAGTCCTGAAAAAGACATGAATTTTACTAACATATTTTAAGTATATACACCGGTTAAAACTTTCACAAATTTGTGGTAAAATTATTCAGTATCTAGCAACTATCAATCGCTTCATGCACAAATTGATATAGGTTGAGTACCCCTCTGTCAGAAATAAGAACATACCTCCACCTAATTTTAGTTAACTGATGAAGAAACATTCAAAATTATAAAATGTTATCTAATAGACTAGCTGCAATGAAATCCCAGTTTTCTTAAATGGTAGGTGGAACCTAAAACTCAAAAGATTTTAAACTATGCATTTTAAATATTGCAAATATACATGCAATAATAATTCCCAAAAATTCGCTATATTTTTCCTCATTTTGTCTTTTGTTCGAGACTGTATATTGACCTCTAGATGTCTTTCAATTACATCCAGTTTGGCGTGGGTTGATGTTTGATTGTTGTACATGTTATATATCGACGTGGGATTTGTTTATATAAATTAGGCTTGAAATAATTTTGGTTAACTGAAATCCTTTAACTTACTTCTAAATTAATGTTAATACTGAGGGAAAAAATTACATTGCTAAATAACCACTTTAAAACACATGCAAACTTTTTGAGAGGAAGGCATAATGCATGTAACATCTATTAGATCTTTTTTAAACCATTCTAAACTACTGATAAGTGATAAAGTTTGTTAACTGTTAGTTACTTACCTTCAAAAAGGGGGTTGCATTCACTTTACTACATATACATA